AGCATTACTATGTCTAACTCTTTCTCACCCCACTTGGGATTTTCTCGGCAAAGATACTGGAATGGTTTGCTATTTCCCCCTCCAGCTCATTTTACAGATGAGGAAACTGAGGCAAACAGGGTAAGGTGACTTACCCAGGGTCACACAGCTAGTAAGTGACTGAGGCCGGATTGGAACTCCGGAAGATGAGTCTCCCTGACTCCAGGTCTAGTGCTCTATGCACTATGGTGCCACCTAGCTGCCCATTTCATAAGCTAATAAGTATCAAATGAGAATTTTCATGAACTATAAAGCATTATGGAAGTGGAGATATTATCAAGAGTCAACTCCTCCATGAAGCTTATCTCCTCAGCCAGAAATGATTGTTCATCCCTTTGAAGTCTCATATCCACTTTTTACATAGGTCTGAGGCCATGTCGAAGGTGATGCTAGTTTTGTACATCTCTCATCTTGCTGACGTATTAGACTGTGAGCCCCCCGAAGACAGTAACTGTTTTTCATTTTCTTTCATATTTCCTCACATCCAAAGCAGCTCTTAATTTACTTTTTCTATCCATCCCCAAACTTAGTATGTAGCATACTAGGGAAGACGATGAGCCTAAAGTCCACACTCAGTCAGCAAGAGCATTCGACCAGTTGGGGCAGTTTATAATCCCTGACACCCCACCCCATCATCATCGCTCCATTCGGTTCCAAGTGGCAGGACAACCAACCTCCCAGGACTTTTGTAGCCAAGCCACCTCCATCAGCAAAAACTTGACCATTTAAAATCTAAAACCATGAGCTTTTGTGATTCTAGTTCTGACTTTGGACAACTCACTTGACCTCCCTAAAGAATACAGACTTGTGGTCCCTTCTTTCTCAAAACCATACCTATTTAAATATATTTGGTCTGCGGGATATTTTGAGAGGGATCTCTAGAGCTCCCTTAAGTTCCAACACCCTGTGGTTTTAGTTACAAAAAAAGAAATTTGCAGCCAAGAGATGGGGGGGGGGGGGAATCATGTAATATGCACTAACAGAAGTAATTTTAGGGCTGTTCACTGTTGAATTAACCATATCACTGCTTCCCTCCATTAGCAGGGATAATGGAACATTAAATAAATATAATTGTTTTTATGGACCCAGCTCATTGGCTTTTTGTTTGGAGAGCACTGAAGAAAATTAAATTTTATGTTCATATTGAAAAGGACAGCCTTTCTAATGTGAATAACAGACCATGGAGAAGGGAATAAGCATGTGTGTGTATGCATATAATACATATGTGTATACACACACACACACACACACACACACACAAAATAAGAATCAGATGGCAGAGCCAGAAATGGTTCACACTGCTAGTGAAACCAAAAGGAGAAAGAACTGGTCTCCTGTCTCCATCTTGTTCACTTTCCTCTACCTCACTTAAGTTCTATGACCTAATTCATCAAAATGGCTATTGACACTCTGCAAAAAATGTTATTAATGCCTAAGGATACTTATAACTAAAAGATCTTCACACATCCTACATTTCCATTACCACATTAGTTTAATAGAAAATGACGGCTGGGTACAAGGATCTTGTTACATATGTAAGAACTGCCATAAATGATGACCATGATCTTTCAGTTCTCATGTTCTACACATTTTTTTAATCATGGAGAATGGATACCGTATCCAAACCCTCCATTCAAATGTTCATTACACTTCTGTAATAAAAATGGTCTTAAAAGGTCCATTAAACACTGCTATTTAAATTACACAGATACAGCACTGTCCATCATAGAGACCATTACCAGCTGCTGATAGCACATTTCAAGGTGCAAAGAAAAGCCTTGTAAAGAGGAAGTTGATGCCCAAGGGTTAGAAAACCCTTTGACCCAGCAATGCCACTGCTAGGTCTGTATCCCGAGAGATAAAAAACAAAAAGGAAAAGGACCTATGTGTACAAAAACATTTATAGCAGCTCTTTCCCGGTGGCAAAGAATTGGAAATTGAGGGGATGCCCATTAATTGGGGAATGGGCTGAACAAGCTGTGGTATGTGATTATGATGGAATACTACTGTGCTGTAAGAAATGAGCAGGATGCTCTCAGAAAAACCTGGAAAGACTTACCTGAGCTGATGGAAAGTGAAATGTAGAGTACAAAGTAACAGCAATATTGTTTTGTGTGTGTAAGGCAATCGGGGTTAAGTGACTTGTCCAGGATCACACAGCTAGTGTCAAGTGTCTGAAGACAGATTTGAATTCAGGTCCTTCTGACTCCAAGGCTGGAGCTCTATCCACTGAGCCACCTAGCTGCCCCAGTAACAGCCATATTGTAAGATGATCAGCTGTGAATGAGAACATAGCTCTTCTCAGCAATAAAATGATCCAAGACAGTTCTTAAGGACTTAGGATGAAAAATGCTCTCCATGCCCAGAGAAAGAACTGCTGGTGTCTGAATACAGATTGAAGCAGACTTTTTTCTTAGCTTTTGAGGGTTTTTTTTTCTTTTGGTCTGTTTTCTTCCACAACATGACTAATATAGAAATGTCTTGCATGACTACACATGTGTAATCTATATCAAATTGCTTGCCTTCTCAATGCGGGGGTTGATGGGGAGAATTTGGAAGTTTTTAAAATGAATGTTAAAAATTGTTTTTACACGTAACTGGGGAAAAATGAAATATTAAATAAATTTGAAAAAATCTCTAAGATATTAAAAAAAAGAGGAAGTTGCCCAATAGTCCAGGGTCAGTCTGAGTGTGACCAAGGCTATAGTTTCAAATGAGTGGTTAGGAAAGCATGTGGCTCAAGGAACTGGGAGTCAGAAAACTGAAGTTTCAACCACAGCTCTGCCACTCACTAATTGTGTGACCTTAAACTGAATGGAATAGAATGAATAGAATAAAAACAATGTTCTTGTCTAGGAGCTCCAAAAATCCACATGAACACTAGATGGGAGAGGGGGGGAAGGGCAAAAAAAAAAAAAAACCAAACAAAAAAACAAGCAAGGATAGGGTAGCTTCAAAAGCTGACGTGCCCTGAGGCTTCATTGGAAGGCATACTGCCCAGAACGAGGGAGGTAATAACCCTACTGTTGTCCATTGCTCTGCTCTGTCCCCTGGAGAACTGGGTCCAATTCGGGCCATCCCACATTAGGAAGATCAATGGTCAGCTGGACTGGACAGGTGGACAGGTGAGGACTGGAGACCATAACATTCAAGACTTGATTGAAGGAAATGGAGGTGTTCAGCCCATAGCAAGATCCTTCAAGTACTACTCATTGTTGGGCCCCAAAGGGCAGAACAATTGGTGAACATTAGTCAGAATTAGGATTTCATGTGATCAGACCAATAGCGAAGCTTAGATACAATGCAGTCTAACCTTTTTTCTCTACAAATAAGAAACTGAAGGCCACAGAGCCAAAAAAAAAAAGCACTCAGTATCCGACAGGTGGCAGCCAAAGGGAAATATTTAACCCCAGGTCTTCTAAGTCCAAATCCAGGGGCTTTATACTGCATTTCCTGGCAATTAGGATTGTTCAAAATGACTTTTTATGAACATCATAGAGGGGATTCCTGCTGCACAAATTATGTTTTGAGGTCACTCAATCTCCTGGGATTCTGAGTGTTAGGTATGGAAGCCTGGAAGTCAAGGAAAATGCCTCCTACAGAAGAGAAGATATAGTGGAAATAAAGAAGCTACTGAGAAAGGCAGAGGTAGAATGTTTTTGGAGTTTTTTTTATCTTCTACGATCAATTTTTAAAATGCATAGTTTAAAAAAGTTATGTTTCACTATTGTGTAATTAACAGGGCAAGGGAAGCATTTCCTGCCCAAATAGTGGTATGCTGTGAGAATGCATCTAGTTCCTAGAATTCTGCCCCCGAAAGTAGCCAAGGTCCCCTCTAGTATAGCTTTGACTCCAGGGGTGCAGTAACTATCTCAAAACATTTGAAATACAGATTGTTCGTGTTTCTTGGTTCCAAGACTCAGAACAAAGATCAGTGCGTCAAAGTTAGAGAGCAAATGTAGTCTTAATGAAAGGAAAAACACACGGAGCCAATCCTCAGTGGAAAGGGTTAACCCTGGAAGATGGGTTCCTCCTCACTGGATTCTTCAAGAGGAGATTGGATGATCAAATCTGCACATGGGTTAGAGTAGAGGGTCCATGAGATCCCTTTCAACAGGTAAATCTAAAACAGAGGTTGGGAAACCATAATTCTGTGGTGTCAAGGCCAGAATTGGCTTTGTTTAATTTTAGTTATTCTATGACAATTTCTAAGAATATTTCTAGCTTCACAGCAGCACTTTTTAACTACCCTTCATAACAATTTAAATAAGTCTATCATTTATTCACATGCATTGACTCATTTTAGCATCTTTTAAACAGTTCTCCATTGTCACTATTTATTTTGGTGTGGTTTATTTTTTTCCTATGGATCAAATGGTCCTATTCAAGGTCCCCCCTCCTAGTATAAAATGAATCCTTGTGGGGTCCCCACTTGTATATCCATTTCAGAACTTCTTTCTCAAAACCACAGCTATTTCAATACATTTGGCCTGAGGGATTTTGTGAAAGCTGCCTCCAAATTTACTCACCCAGGCAAAATGAACTACTGAAAATGGACAGCTATCAGACAAGCTGCTCACGAACCCAGACCTAGATATGGGAGCAAAGGTTGTAGCTATTAGCCCATTGTACTGATCCCAATTAAAGACTGAAAATTCATTTTTGCAAGAAATCACACTTTGTACAGTCCAACAGAACCTCTGTTTTCCTGTTTTAAATTGTTCCTTTACATAAAGAACCATAAATGTCCAGGTCTTTTGGATATAGTCAACTCAATTATTTTTAATTCCTTGAGTGAGTTATTTAGGTAATTTGACAGCACTAAAGGCCAGAATTCTTAGGCAGGAAGTTGGAATTTAAGATCACGAAAGCTGGGTGTATAAAACTATATTGGCCTAAATAATTTGGTTTTATGTGGAAAATAAATCATAACAGTTATTTCAAGAAAGTAACATTCATCATTATAATTGTAAACTGCAATTTTATTATCCATCCCTTAAGACTGAAATGTCATATAAAGTGCCAGTTAGTAATACTTTCCAGCAGAATGTGCTATGCCTCTATTTTTTTTTTAAACAAATGCAGTAAAAGTAGAGGGTGACTCTAATTCTTCTGTATTCACCAAATAGTCTCAAAAACTTCATGTATTAAACTGAAAACAGTGGCTCTCAGTAATGCCTTCCACCTGACCAAACAAGGAACCCAATAGAGATCCCTGATCCCTCTTGCACTGAAGAGCCAATGTAGATGAAATCAACTTGCTCCAAAATACCCCAAGTGCTCTTCAGAATCATCCATACTGACTGAAAACTAACACTAAATTTCATGCAGTAAAATCCTTCTTATCAACATAGAGCTAAAAAGTTTCCAACTAGCACTATAATTTAATATTAACTTAGATTACTGCAAATAGCTTCTCTAATTTATGCTGAACTACACACAAATTACCTATTTCATATAGATAAGGATAAATAAGTAAATATGTCCCAAAAGGCCATTTCCTAAAGAATGGGAAAACTGCATAGTCTTCCCTCTTCCCAAATGCTTGTGGTCTTGCTACCTATGTATCTGAGACAAATGAGTTTCAGAGCAGTTCTACAGCCAAATTTTTAGCAAGGGAATGAATCCATGAAGGTTCCCAGGGCAGCTTAAAATGAAATATCCATGTCCCAGGATCCAAACGCAAACAGGGCCAGTTTACCTTGACTTCTTAAGGGGGAAGGGCCAAAAGCATCCCCATAACACTCACAGCCCCCTTTGGGATAACTGTAGAACAAGTGCTCAGGGATAGCCCAAAGAACTCGGGCAATGGGGGCTATTTACATGGAGGTAAAGAGCACCAATGTAGACTGATACTTTCGATCATGGCAAATTGTTGGGAGGCCAAAGAGGACAGGGCAGAGTGAAAAGGAAAAGGAAGGCCTATCTAGCCTAGTGATTGGGAAAAATAACTCTAGGATCTAACATAAATATAGTATCATACAACTCCTTACAAAGCTCTCCCACAAAGTGCCCTCCCTGCCCCCTCCCCCACAAAAAAACCATCAACATTCTTTCAGAAAGTAAGAGCTCATTCATAGCTATAACCAAAAACTATTAGGAAGCCACTTTGAGTAGCATTATCAACGATCATAAAGTTGCCAATCATTATCTGGTATTATCCTATTTACATATACATTTCATTCTCAAAAATAGTTGTTTTAGTGAAGATGTGCGTCATTAAAAGTAACTGATAAATGAAATGGTGATTATGTTCTGTAAGGGTTTGAATTCGACCTCTAACTATATCTATGCTCCGCCAACTCCTTCCCATGGTTGATACCTCTTCTCAAAGCCTAGGAATCCATTCAAACAATTTCCTAACTCAAACTGTCCATAGGATACTTGGTGAATTTGCTGTTTGCTCTTCTGATATGAGAAGCCCTTAGCACACCCTCATATTCAGCTTTATAAGGCACCGAGGTATACTGCCAAATTCATATCATTCTCTTATTCTGAGTTATAAAGTAGAAAGTCATGGGAAAGATACCATGTGTGCATGTTACATCCTACCACATGAATAATCTAAACTTAATTAGTGATTTTAGGCTTTTAATTGGGTAAATTATTTGAAGTCCTATACCCTTATTTCCCCTTCACTGTGGTTAGTTTTGATACTGAGACAAATTTAAGTTTCACATTGTTGTAGGCAATTGGAATGCAATTTAAACATACAAATACCCAGGGAAGGGTCTTAAGATATTTTGTAACATAATAAAATTTGAGTCTGATTTATGCTCCTAAATAACATCTCAAACATGCAAAAACTCTAGGAGAATATTGTTTTAAAATTAGCTCCAACTTCCCCCAAACCCTGCACATCAATGCTGGATTTACAGTTTTATTTATAGAAAACAAAACAGCTGTACTGATGAGATCTACATAGAGCATTATTCATTATAATGATATTTACAGTTTTATGCAACACCTTGGAAAAACAGAGGACAGCTTCAATTTTACAACAAAGATAGGAAACACACATATAAAGACAAATGTTGACAGAGCTTAACATTACAAGAGGACTATCCATTCTTGATACAAAACCCCAGGAATCGCTTGGCTGGACAACTAGAGCTTCTTAATCTGACTGTCCAGGTCATTAAAATATGGATGGTTCAATGCCATTTTGCCAGAAATTCGTTTGGCAGGATCATAGACCAACATTTTCTGAAAAAGAAAGAAATAGAAACTTATTCAGGAAATTGTACCAATGAAACTAAACACATTATCTATCACCCCAAAAAAGTTAATGTCAAAAAGCTTTTGTAATATTCAAGCATAAACCTTTTAAACTAGTCAACACACAACACAAATGTCTCACTCAGTTCAGTAAATTTTAACCGCCATCCTTGCACGCCTTCACCAAGAGCACTAATTAAAATACCTCCCCCGCCAAAAGCATTAGTGCTAAGAAACCCTAAGTGCCAATACTTCCTTTTTTGTCGTTGTTAATTCCATGTTCAAACACAAATGCATTTCAAGCTCATAGTTTAAAAGCAGGAATATAAATTGAGGCCAGGAAAAATAAAAACAACTTTCTTTTTTGGTTAAGAGCAATTTAAGATGTTTTTGCAGGAATTGTGGCACTTAACTGCACTTGTTTCAATACCGCTCCCAGCATGTCTTAAACAAAAGGAATCAAAGTGGGGAGGACTGAATCAGAGCATACATATTCCAGTGAGCTGACTTAATATTAGGGCAAAAAATTAATGTGCATACACACTTGGAAGAGCTAAGAAACCTTTTTTAGTTCAGATTGAAGGATTGACCAGAAAGTGACGTTAGGCCAACCAGAGCTTCCCAAATATCCTTGAAATCATAACATAGTATATGTGATACGGAGATGAATAGATAAACACAAGGCCTGGCAAACTCAACCACTGCTAAGAGAAATGAACGTCAATTTGGGTCTCTCCTTTGCAATGTTTCTTGGCCCCAGCGCTGCCCTAGTTGGCATTTAAAGCAGGCGCCCCTCAGTGGAAGAGTCACTGCACCAACCAATAGATGCATATTAAGATAATGGAACATCATCATACCGTTAAGAAATGATGACTAAGAAAATAATTTTTTTTTTATTAAATGCTACAGCTTGAAAAAAGCAGGACCAGAGGAACAGCAACCACAGTGACCATAAATGAATACAAACAGACTGCCAAAAACCACTTTCTTCCTTTCCTTGGAGGGGGGAGGGAAGGAAAGGAACCATGCAGAAGATGGTAGATCTGCCACCAAGATCAGGCATTGGCAGGTTTTGAGTCACTGTTTGAATCTGTGACAAGAAAGGCTCACGGGGTGGGCTGTATATCCCAACAAAATGACCATGGTGTTTAAAAAAAAAAAAGAAAATTCAAGAAACCCTTGAAACACTCAAAAGCAGCTAGACTTGGTAATTACAATAACGAATCCTGGTCCCTGAGACCAAAAATGACTCCACTTCAACCATATCCAAGGTCTTGGAGGGTATGTAGCCCAAAGGACCAAACCAAAACACAGACCTGAGGGAGTTTTCAGTGGGGAGAGGTCGGTTACAGAGGAGTATACAACACCAATGAGCTGTTTTAACAAAGGGGCAGCTTGGTACGGAGAGTAGAAAGCAGAGCAAGAGGACCCAGACTCAAACCTCCTCTTCAGTGCTTTTTGATGATAACGGGATCCTGGACACTAGCAAGGTAAGAACACGAAGAGGCTGCTGCCCCTGAACACTTGTGTCTAGTCGTGGGCTCCCAGCCCATCTCTGGTGCTTCCTACGCTGGGACCTTGGGCCTCAGTTTTCTCACCTATGAGATGGGAGGGTTAGACCAGATAGCTTCTTTTGGCTCTAGAGTTATGAGCCGATGACCTAACCCTCACAAATGTACATAGATACAACAGTAATTTTCACTCTGTGTTTGAAAGCAAAAAACATGATAGAATCCACAAGCAGCAGATGACAAACCATCACAAATTATTAACGAATAATGTTGGTTAGAATAGATGAGTTTGAGTGAACCTTATGGTCCTAAGTCATTATGTGTACACACAAAACAGAAACTAGATCTGAGCAGGCACTGAAGATGGAAAATAAGCAAAGTTCTAAAACACACCCTAAGATTTTAAAAATATAAACCCACACAAGCAAGGGTGGGGGGTGGAGACTTAACAGAATCAAAGAAATTAGGTGTGCTTAGAATTTCCTTTCAACCAAAGACAAGAATAGCTACTTCCTTCCTGATGAACATCGCTTTAAAACTTGAGGAATCCATAACCTGTGAGCTGGAGACAGAAGCCACCTCTGGACTTAGACAAGGGAGTCAAGATAGAAAGAAGCAGAAACACCAAAATATTTATAGCCACAATTATCGCATCAAAGAATGTTGACCAAGATTAGCTAAACAAACTAGCACACACAGACACAATACAGACACAGACCGAGTAACAATGCTGCTGCCCCACGAGAAACAAGGAATCTGAAAAACACAGGCTCGGGAATTTTATATGAACCGAAGGAAACTGACATAAGCTATGCAACACAAAGACAAGAAACCCCAAACCAAATGCGATGGAAGTACAGCGATCAAGCTGAAGAAAAAGGGGATGCAGCTTCCTTCCTTGTTTGTGCAGATGGAAGACAACGGGGACATTCACTTTTGATCTGACCAACGCGTTGGTCAGGAACGGCTCAAAAACAATTTAAACAATAATGATATAGAGAACAATTTTGAAAAGACGTGATAACACTGATCAATGCAAAGATCAGTCCTGGGTCCAGAAAACTGAAGATAAAAACAAGACCCTCACCCTCTGCCAGGGGCGAGAGACCAATTTTCATGCAGGAACAATGTGGGAATTTGTTTGAGTGTCTTTGGTGAGTTTTATTTTTCTTTCTTTTGTTGGGGGGGGAGTGGGGGCCCAGTAGGAGGACAGATTCTAAATGCATGTACGAATATATATCATTTCGTTTTTAAAAATAAGGAATGGCTCACTGCACGGGCAAGAGGAGAAACATTAGGACAAAGTGCTCCAAAAATAAGAGAGAAACAAGAGAATCTACATTTCTGAAGACTTCATAGGAGTGAGAAATTTATTTTGGCAGGGAGAGAAGGCTGTTCTAAATGAGTAAGTGAATACAGAATTTGCTTTCTTATTGGACATATGGGGAAAAGGAGTGGCAAGAATAGAGAGAAGAGTTTATAATAAATACCTGCTAAACTTTTCTAGTGAATTCAAGAGAAAGATCACAAGCGATACAGTGCTAAATAAAGTGAGAACTCAGGAAGTTAGCAAGATCAGAAACTGAGTGGGCACAGAATAACACAGATGAAAAGAATAGATACCTTAAAGAAATAAGCACTAACCCCAAAAAGAAAGGAAAAGAATAATCCTAAAACAAAAATATCAATTTTTAGAAGTACAGCCTACTAATGTTTTCTTTTTTTCCTTCCTTTTCAAATCTTAAGAGAAACAGTAAATTTCAGTAATTCAAAATAAAAAGATAAGTAGGAGTAATGCAAAGTGTCTTGGAATAAATAGCACAGAATGTAACTGATTATGGAGGTATAGATTGAATCAACTAACATTGATCATTTACATTTTGAACACTGAATAAATTTAAACTTTTTAAAGAAAAACTTGATGATGAGTTAAAGGAAAATAAGGCAGCACAAATGCCAAAAAGGAAAAGGAAAATGTGTAGTCAGAAGGAACAAAACTTCTTTACTGCAAGTTACTTTGCTGGAACCCTCCCAGCTCTTATGGGCTCCAGGCTGGTTTAATTACCTGTTAGCTCCATTTATTCCTCTCCTTCTAGCCCAGGGCAACTCACATCTTTCTCTTCTTACTACCCAGCATTCCCGTGCTCCAATGCTTACCTTACTTTTCCTATTTAATTCTTCCAAGTATAATAAACCTTCCTAGATTCAACAGCTAAAAAACCAACATCCTTTCTACTATAGTTGGTCTCTGGTAAAAATGGTTGAGACTTCTTGCACCAAAAAACAAAAACAAAAAGCCGAGCATGCCCCCTCCTCCAAAACACAGGTAGTAAGGAAAGCCCTAAATAAACTATTTCAATACAGATATCAGCTTGACCTCAATATTTATATGTGTGTGTATATGTGTATGTGTGTGTATGTATATGTATGTATATTACATGTATAATATACCCATCTAAAATGCATGTAGTATATTAAAAAAAAAAAAAAACTACCACAAAAACTACCAAGAGAAAGCAGGAGCTTCCACATTTTCAACAAGTGGGTTTGTGGTAAAGCCCCATCAGAGCTGTCAGGGTGGACCACTCACAGAGAGCAAATCTATGCCGTTTTCATCAAGGTTCTTGACATGTGACGTCAAACTTCCTGGTTTCCACTTGGGGAATGTATTCTTATAATCCTGCAGCGATTCAACTTCCGGCCACACTTCATTATTAGGAGTCCCCAAAGCCCTGCAAGACAAAAGTTTACTGGGATACACTCTTCTTACTCGGAGAGGGAGACACACTATATGTGCATCCTGGTTTTCCATACTGTGGGAATAAAGTAGAAATGCATGCGATACCTGAAGATTCGGAAGAGCTGGTCAATTTCGGAATCCCCGTGGAAAAGTGGCTTCTTGGTTGCTAATTCAGCAAATATTGTGCCTATACTCCAAATGTCTACTGGAGTAGAATATCTGGCAGACCCCAGCAGCACCTCTGGAGACCGATACCATAGTGTGACCACCTAAAAAACAGGAATTTAAAATGATTTACAACTGAACCAAACGTATAGTTGTTGAAAATAAGACATCTCCCAAAACCTGTGGACTGATGTTTCATTTGGAATACCCTCAAAAGGAAAAGCAAAATGCAAAACTAGAAATAATTTCCTCTTTTTTAAGGGGTTACCTCTACAGTACAGACTATATGTAATAAGGCAGGAAGCACATTAACGATCCCAAACTAGAAATCCCCTCTTGAAGCGTCTCACTAGGCGCACACAGGCCTAGAGGAGTAACACCTCCACAGAAGTCACACAGAGCTTTCCAGAGTGGTCATGGGAGCTGCTGCCCGTCTGCATCTGGATGGGCACCTTCCCACCTTCTCTCCATGGCGCAGCTCCCGTGCCACGCCCTCCCATGCTCTCCTGTTCAGACCACTCTTTGAGGCCTGCAAGCTCATACTGTTCTGCCCTACCAGGTCAAGGTACTCAAGGATGGGAATTAGCCACGCTTGTCCTGCAGCAGGCTCTGGCCAACCACCTCCAACCTCCACCAGCCTCAGGGACATCTCAAAAGAACAGAACTTGCTATCTTTCCCCAAACCTTCTCTCTTCCTGTCACTCAGGACTACAGCCAGGGCTGTCATCCTTGACTCTTTGCTCACACTCATCACACATACTCATGTCCTCCCCAAATTTCTCACTCTTGCAGTCCACAGCTGCCTGGTAAGCTCCAGGGGGGCCACACGTCAAGACCTCAGCTTAGCATCTGAAGCTCTTCACAACCTGGCTCCTGCCCACCCTTCCAGGCTTCTTCCATCACCCTCCCCCTGCATTCTGAGCTCTGCTGGCTGCCCTCCACACTTCCAGCCCTGGCTTTGCCCTGGCTCTCTCCCATGCCTACAGCACCCACCTCCTCCTGTGCAGGGGGCTCTCTGTCCCCCCCAGCTGCTGGCGGCTTCCCCATGATTACCTGTCAACTACCCTGTCATATACTACCATCTCCCTCATTAGAAAGTGAGCTCCTTGAGGGCAGGGCACGTGTTTGCCTTATCACAATGCTGTGCTTCATAAATGCTTGTTGACTGACATTTAATGAGGGCCTAACCAAGGCCCTCAGCAGCAGCCAGAAGGCTTCATACATACAACCAGGAGAAGGGACCCTACTGGGTTCTACTCTCCAGCCCCTGTCTTCCTGCTGACCCCGCCCCTGACAAGAACAAGGGCCTCGGGTGGCTGGGTGACTTGTAGGATCCCTTCATCGTCCACCAGCTGCTCTGACCCAAGAACGTCGGCCCCTCCTCCCAAAGCCTTCCTTCAGAACGGGCTCAGAACCCTCCAGCGACACTCTTCATCGCCAGCTGCCCTGCTTGGCTTGCCTTGTGGGGGTCGCACTCCCCTTCAGCCTCCTTTTGTGTCTTGTCTTCCCTCTTGGAAGGCAGGGACTGCCTTTTTTTTTTTTTCCTTATTTGGATCCCCATCCCTTATCGTAGTGCCTGGCACACAACTGGCTACTGATCAAGGTGACCAAGTTAATGAGCAGAACTCTGGACAGAACCTTGTGTCCTGACTCCTGCTCAGTAAACACTCCACTAAAACAAGGAAAAAGGAGACAGTTTTAGGATAGAATCCTTCTTTTTCTCTATATCAGTGAAAAACTAAAAAAAAAAAAAATGCAAATATAAAGCTAATTTATAGGTTAATTATCAACTCCAATAAGAAAAAATTATTTTAACTCTTCTTACCTCGTGTGTATAGACCCTTATAGGTATTCCAAAGGCCCGTGCAAGTCCAAAGTCGGCTAGCTTAATCACACCTTTATCATCTATTAACAGATTCTGAGGTTTCAAGTCTCTGTGAAGAACTCTTCGTGAGTGACAAAAGACAATGCCTTGTAAGATTTGGTACAAATAACTCTGAAGAGAAATGAAAATAAATTAGAAACTAACACATTTGAGTCCTTTTTGCTCCTAATACATAGCTACAGCATTTAATCCTTCTAAAACTTGAATCAGCTCCAAGAAACCATGTGACAATGACCACAAAGGGTCAGTCCACTTGCACCCTAAAATCGCTGTATTTTTGGCACTCTGTTCTTCCTTATAAAACCTGGTTCTAGAGCTAAATCAGAGTGACCTTTGTCTTTTGGAAGTTACCATATTCACCCCCATTGCAAATACAGGTCCGTTCCATGTTTTCATCACTTCATTTTTTTCTCCAATAGAACCTTTGGGGAGCAAATAGTTTTGCGTTGACATCTATTATAAAAATCATCCTTAAACAAGTGACAGCAATACTCTGAAGGTTAATCAAAGGGCATTACTGACAAAGCTCAATTTTAAGTACAGTTTAATAGGGACAAAACCCTTCTTGCTAAGGACTAATCAACAGCTGAAGTTCTTCATCATAAACATGTTCTGTGAATTTTAAAAGGAGGGCTGTTCATTCAGCCAGTCAAAGCACTCAAACTCTAAAAACTAAAAGGCATTTACAACACGATAAATTCTCATTGTAAATATGCTGTCACACATTAAATTAAAATTAAAGTATGCTAAAATATATACTAAGAGAAGAAGACCAATAGACATTTCATGTTATAATTGAATCTTCCAGCACAGGGAAGCATGAAGACGACACTACTTACATCCATAATGGACAAAATTCCAATATCAAAGTCTACAGGGCACGGCTGCTCATTAGGAGTCTACAGTGTCCTCTAAAGACCTACGTCACCATTTTACAACATCCCCTCAGGACACGGTCTTGTTTATTTCACGGCACTCGGGGATAAAACACAAGTGTGTCGTCATTCTTCTTTCTGATGGTTTCTACAGAATCTATCTAGAATCTACCTATCGTTGCAGAAATAAATGTAGCTAGGAAGGGGTTGGGGTTTGGATGGATAAATGGTTGTTTGACCTATTCCCCACACCACCAGTCTCTCCCTCAATAGAACTTCGAGGTCCTAGAGAACAGGAATTCTTTCTCCTTTTCTATTTTTATCCTGAGTGCCCACCACGGTGCCTGATACATAATAGACACCTAAAAAATGCTTGAATGTTTATTCACACTTCCCAAATTTCAAAGGCATAAGGAAGTAAGTTCCAGGTATTATCATGGACTAGGAAACATTCATTTCAAGTTATAGCCTGAAATAAATTAAGTAAGGAATCTGAACCAGTAAATACTTAAATTAAGTTCATCTTCCAATTACAGAATCAGAACTGGAAGGGACGTTAGAAGCCAAGTCAATCCAAATAATAATTACTGAACGCCTCTACACCATGACGGAAAGGTGGTCCTCCAGCCTCTAGCGAAAGAGACGCAACCACCTCCCTGAGCAGCCCCTCCCACTCTGGGACCACTCGGAACAGAAAAGACTTTTGTCCTGCCATCAAGTCCCCTGCTCCCGGTGCTCCTAGCTCTACCCTCTGGGGCCAGGCCTAACAGATCTAATCCTTCTCCTTCACATGGCAGACCTTCAAAGACTTAAAAATTGCTGCTCCGTCCCCTCGACCTTTTAAGTTCCCCGGCTTTCTTAGCCAGTCCTCCTATGGCACAATTCTGAGGGTCCGCCATTATTACCCTCTTCCGGAAACTCTCCAGTTTATCAACGTCCTACCTAAAAGAGGCCTAATCTTTTCAAACAATAGTCAGTACCTATCAGCCAACTGGTAGGAAAAGCCTTACTTTAACAAGTGAAGAGTCCATATACTGGCCAGGAGGGATGGAATCCAAGTATTTCTTGAGGTCCATAGAGAGAAATTCAAAAATGAGGTAGAGCCTAGCATCTTGCATAAGTACATCTTGAAGGCTAAAAATAAAAAGCAATTTCATGAAGTCACATCTTACAAATCTTTCTAGTCTCTCACTTCCACAAAAAATTTTCATCAAGGCTGTCAAAAGGGAAAGCAAGATATTTACTGTGAAAAACATGTCTATGAATAAGATGCAGACTAGCCTATAAAAAGGATCAAACGTGAAACTAGTGTTTAAGAGTGGTTTATAGAAGAAACCACTGACTTCCAGGGTTGTTTTTAAAGTCCACTACAGGTAATTCCAGCTTATGACCAGTCAAGTTCTAAAGTGCCATGTTCCCATGCTGCTCTGGCACCCTAAAGGTTTCCAAAGGAAAGAATCCAACACCATCATGACCAAATGCCAAGGTGTTCTCTCTTCAAGGGGAAAGGAAGGGATATTTCGGCTCCTGAAGTGGATGTCAAATGGGGATGAGAGAGGCAAGGAAAAGAACAGGAAGAAGCTACTAGCCATTGACAGGCTTCCATAGCACTGGTTTTCCACTTGTAATAATGACCCGGGCAGTTACCATTTCAAAATCATGTGGTTCACAAGCAGATAGCTGGCTAGCCCCAGGGGTATGATGAAAAGTCAGCAGGCCGGGGGTCTCACCAGGTCTCTACCTCAGCCACGTTGGCAGGGCACGTCACTTCTCTTATTCTACTGATAAAAAGTCCCATATCCAGACACAGTCATTCCTGAGCTATACTCAACCCTTCTACAGAGTTCCTATTCATAAAATGCTGAATAAGCTTTGTTGACATAAAATCATTTCAGAAAATTCTGAAGTAGGAAATGCCTACACCATAAAAGTTAGCTTTGAAATGGTGCTAACAACTTACATACTTACAACCCACAATTTTATCCATACCTGACAATGTTAGGATGACGAAGTTCCTTTAACAGAGAAATTTCTCGAATTGCAGTACTTGGAACACCTTCCTCCTCACTCTCTAATCTGATTTTCTTCATGGCTACCACCTGACCTGTAGTTTTATGTCGACCCTTATATACAACACCATAGGTACCTAAAACACAAAAAGTCAAGTCAAGTCAAATGTTTGCCTTCTACCAAAACAAACAAAAACTGTTACCAAAAAGCCAAAACAAACAAAAACACCACTCCTGACTCAAAAAAAAAAAAAATTATTCTAAGTCATTAAAATAATTCTTTATTCCAGTGAATGTGTAAATGATGTACTCTCCAATAGCTTTGCTTAGATATTGTGCTTTTATTCTCTATTAAAGAGATGATTCCCCCTACTTAAAAGACAGAAGGTGGAAAACAAGAAAGCAAATATAGAACATAACATCTATTACAAGGGAGGACTGGCATTCACTGTATGCATCTGTATCATCTACTTCTGTAGCACATTACCAATTTTCATAATGAGCATGAGAAACAAAAAAAAAAGTTACATTGTTAACACAGATAATCTGTGCTTCATTAGGAAGGTGACATTTAAATCGGTTAAAGAGATTTCTATCAAAATAAAACCCCTTAAAATGTCAACCTAAGTCAGAAGAGCTGATTTCAGGTCCCAGCACAGGGTCATTACAGGCATGAGCTCAGGGAGGAAATGGTACTTCCCTCCAGGTGCTCTCAAAGGGCCCTTGTAGCTCAAAGTCTATGATGTGACTTAAGCTTGCTTTCCAGCTATCTAGAAAGGTGGGTATCATATGGCTAATCCCGGGTAACTGAAAGTTTATTCCTATAATTGAATCATAAACTGCCAAGTAGAAACAACTAAGGAACAGAAGGGAACAAGACAACAGGCATGATAATTAAGCTCACAGGAGCTGCCCTGTGCCAGGCACTGTGTTAAGTACTGGAAGAGACTGACTTAAGTTGGGCTTCAAAAATGAGAGAGCTGGAGGTGGAAGATGGAATTTTAAGCAAGACAAATAACATGAACAAAGGAGGAAGGGGCAGGCCAGTGTGTGGAAGGACAAGAGCTTGAAAAGAAAGTTTGTGTTAAAGAACAGTGAAGCCATTCTTTAGTAAATATCAGTAAATAGTAAAGCTAAAGTCAGACCAGAGAGCCTTGAAAACCAGGCAGAATGGCCGAGACCTAATTTAATGGAAAAGACGAAACCACCACCCTTCATGAGTAGGAGTTGCTCAGTGAGTTGCTCAGTGAAAGTAATTACGAACTCTGATCTGGCAACCAAATTCACAATGGGACAAGGAAAGGTCAGGGAAGAAACCAATGATGGACTGTTATAATCCACTACCAGGTCAATCACAACTTGGACTGAGATAAGGCACCGGAAGAAATAGAACACATCATGAAGATGCAAAGACTTGCTGAAAGGCTGAACAAAAAGATGAAAAGAGAGGCAAAAGTCAAAGATTATTTCCAGTCTAGGAGAGCATTTTCTCACTGAAACGCAAAGTATAACTTATTGGTTATCACAGAGCTTCAAAGTTTAAAGGTACCTCAACAGCCAGAGAAATCAGAGACCTCCAGTGAAGGGGAACCCATTACCTGGGAGAGGAAGTGAGGGAATGCTCTGGACCCAGCCCTAACATGTCTCTGGAAGCCTCCCAATTTCTCGGTAGGCCCCTGTCCTATGAGGAAGTTTTCTCTTGTTGCAGAACACATTCTCTTATCAGACAGAGGGGTGCCTAGCCCAAGGATTTTTCCCCTGGTTGGCCCAAGGACTCTTCCTCCCACAAGATCCTCAAGGTCCATGCCTCTGACAACTCTCTCAATGTCTGGCATACTCCCTAACTTTCCCATCCATAGCTCCCAAAGACACCTGGACCCTTAGATTTTAAGTAGTATCCCTGGCATTCCTTTCCCATGTCCCTTTTCCATATAAACCCCAGCACCATCCTCAGTCTCTCAAAGGGTTCCCATAAGGAACCTTGCCCAATTTTGCTAAAGCGTTACAATAAACTCTTTGCCACTCGACTAACAGAAGGCTTGAGTGTGTGAATTCATTCTAGGCAACTCTGCCTTGGCACTCTTGGGGTCCCAGAACTCCAAAACCTTGTCAGAAGCCTTTGAGGACAGGGGGTGCTCTTTTTTTCCTGTATTTATTGAAACGAATTTAGACCTTTTAATTTCCATCAGGCCTAAATGTACCTCTTTACAACCTTTAACCACTGCTCCTGGCTTGTTAGGACAAGCAAAACCAGATAAAAGGAAGGGTCTTCAGACCCTTTGGGCAGCCCTCAGGCGGCCCGGCCTCCTAACCTTCAACGGACCCCCTAAGATGTTGATTCAAGTGCCCTTGCCATCCTGGTTCCCCTCCTTCTAGTGAAGGCAATCAGTGCCCTTGCTGGGTCACAGGGTCACAGATATCTGGGAATCATTTGATTCTTCTCCTTCACTGAAATAGTGCTAATAAAGTAGGAATTATAAAACCCACAGAAGACCAAATGATGGAAACTGGGACTGAGGATAATTAAATCAAAAAACTGTACTCGATCCTAGATTTCCTTAAGGGTTTTCTCAGTCTCTCCCAACCCCACTGCACAGCTCTGTACTGGGCCCTCTTCTCTTTCTCCACATTCTCTCTCAGAGATTTCATTAACTCCCAGGAGTTTAATTATGGTCTCTGTGCAGATGACTCCCCGACCCACACCTATCCCTACTTTCCTTCCTCAGCTCCAGTTCCATCCCTGACTTCCTATTGGGCACTCAGACCTGGAAGTCTCCAGGCAGCTCAATCTTATCTTTCCCCCAGACTCACTCCTTCTCCAAACTTCCTGATTCCTACCAAGTGCCTGCACCACTATCTTTCCTGTCACCCAAGCCTCAGTCATCCTCCACCGCTCACCTACCCAGAGCTGATCTGCCATCAAACGAGCTGTCAAATCTTACTGATTCTATCTACATCCACATCTGCATTGTTCCGTGCTGAATCTTCACCCACCTGCTAACTTGGGTCCCCCAAGGCTGTCTCCTTGGCCCTCTCACTTCTCCCTCTATATTACTTCAATCTCCAAATGCCTACAGGAATCCCAAACCAAATGTCTCATGGACGTCTGAACTCGTTACCATGCCCCCACCCCAACGCTCCCCTTTTTCTAACTCCCCTGTTACTGCTCAGGGCACCACATCCTCCCTGGGAGGCCTAGGTGTTAACTGCTCGCTCTCATTTACCACGCCCCCCTCTTGCCCCCCCCATGTGACTGTTGCCAAGTCGTATTGACTCTACCCTGGTAACATCTTTCATACTCAACCCCTTCTCTCCTTGGACCTCTCCCCACCACCTCGACCCTTATCACCTCACACCAGGATTATCCTAAGAGGCCACTGGCCAGTGACCCTCTCCGCTCAGCTGTCCAAGTCATCTTTCTTAAAGTGGAGGCTTAATCATGTCCCTCCCCACCCCATCTCATTCAATTCACCTGACTCCTGGCTGTTTCTTGCAATAGTATGCATTTTCACTGGCTGAGCGTCATGCCTGAAATTGTGACCTTCCTCATTTCCACCACTTGGATTTCCCGACTTCCTTCAGGTCCAAGCTAAAATCCCATCTTCTGTAAGCCTTTTCTGAACCACCTTAATGCTAGTGCCTTTGCTGAGATTTTCTCCCAATTTGTCCTGTCTACATCTTGCTTATACACAGTCTATACATCTGTCTCCCCAATTAGACTGAGTTCCTTGACAGCAGGAACTGGTTTGATTTCTGTCTCTTTGTAGTACTTAACACAGTACCTGGCATGTAGTAGGCACTTAATAAATGATTGATGACTGGGGCCTTGCAAAACCTTGTGTCTGTTTCTTTCTCCCCACTCCCCTAACCCCCTTCAAGGTTCAGGCTCTCATCACCACTGCCAGGACCCTTCAATAGCTTCCTAACTGGGTTCCCCTTCCCCGTCCTCACTGATATTCCTAAACCACTGTTCAGATCAAGTCACTCCCGCCCCTACCTTCTCAACATACCCCAGGGTCTCCCTGTTGCCACTCCTCTGCTTGGCCCTCAGCTGTCCTTTTCCAGGTCTATTCCACAGGACTCTTCAGTCCTTCTAAGTCCTTGTCAAGCTGGCCTTGTTCTTCTCCCTACATAACACTGCCCTGCTCATCCCTGTGGCTTTTCCCAATGCCTGAACTGCCTTCCTGCCTCACGGAAACTGAGCTTGGAAGCAAGTTACTTTCCACAGGTAGCCCAACCTGATCAATCCCCTGACTGCTGGTGTCTTCCACTCTAATAATGATTGTGCATTTGTTTTTATATATTGTTCCCTTCTCCAAACAGATGGGTTAAGCTCCTTCAGGACAGGGCTGTTTCTCTGTATACGCAGCAGGGCACATACAAGTGTCTAACAAATGTTTGGCGATTACTGACTGAAGGGGTTCACATAATAAGCACGTATTCACACATGGGTGGAGATGAAGGACTTTTATATTGAGAAGCTGAGAAGAGGAAAACAATGTAGTTTTCCACACTACAGATTTGGGGGGGGCATTAAGATTAATTTGAATCAGTTTTAGTTTTTTTTGTTTTCTAATTTTACCAGCTTGAAAATTACATAAATTACTTACCTTCCCCAATTTTCTCAATTTTTGTGTAGTCCTCCATAGCTATTCAATATGCTGGAGACTCTGAAATGGAGAAAATTAAAGTGAGTCCTCGTCATAAGAACTGTTTGTTTGTTTTTTGAAGCAGTAGAGCCCAAGAGCTAGAAACTAGCTAGTGAGACCTGGGTTCAAATCCTAACTCTGCCACTGGTCAGCCACGTGACCCTGAGGTTCAATTATCTCTTCAAGACTCGTCTATTTTTACATGGATTACCCCTGGGCTGCTCTTTCTACAAGAAAATGGTTTTAACTCTTTTGGGGGTGCTAGAAAGAACTCAGATGACAGAGAAAGTAGAGACTTGCACTGATAGGCATTTCCTCATCTGAGTCCTTATACCAAGTCACAAGCCCAGGTTCTAGCCCTATTAATAACTTTGGCCAAACAGTCGGGCTTAGGTTGTCTCTTCTTGCTATTACGTTCAGATAATAAGTACTCAAATACTACAGATGATTACTTAGCATTTCTGAGAGAACTAAAAAAATAAATAAATAAGATTCAGACATTAGTTGACAAACTCCAACAAGAAGGCAAGTATGAGCACTCTAGACATTTATCGCTTCCTCCATCACGAAAGGTCTGTCAGTGAGCCTGAAGGAGTTCACTAAAACACATAAAGATTAAGTGACTTGGTCATAAAGCCAGGAAGTTTCAGAAGTAGAATTTGAACTCCTGAATCTAAGCTCATCATTCTAAGGCCTAACTCATACTACCTCAATAGTTTATTATGGTCTAGAATGATCTATTTTGTATTTTTCCTTTGCTATTAGCTTGTGTCATGAAGATGATCACAACACCTGGTATTTTATGTAGCATTTAAGGCTTTCAAAAGACTTTAAACACATTATCATGCAATTAATAGTTGAATTTATTATTCAAGAAGTGTGTATCTATGTGCATACATGCGTGTGAATGTGTGTGTGTGTGTGTGTCTGAGAGAGAGATCATTTTCTCCATTAGAATATAAGTTCCTTGAGGGCAGAGATGGTTACCTTTTTTGTACAGTGGTAACAACTTGCTGAATCAATTAATAAAGTAGAAAGTTATAAATAAAATTCCGGGGGTGTCCTTGGCTAATACACTATCGGAGTCAAGAAGAGGTAAGTGCAGTTGCTCAAGCTTCATGACTTTGGACAAAACATTTGGGCCTGAGTTTTCTCATCTTTAACATAAAGCTCTGACATTCTGCTATTCTGTCAAATATAAAGAAAGCAAAACCGGAATAGTAAACTTGATGACAATTATGTAAACAAAAACAACCAAACACACTGGACAGCCTTGGCCACACAGAACAGCTGAAAAAGATGCACCTTCCTCCTTCCAATCCAGAGGCAGAGAGGGAATATCACACATACTATCAGACTGGGTTAATATGTCGGTTACAGAATTTGAGAGCGGGAGGGGTCCTCAGTGGACCCTCCCAGTCCATACATACATGGTCAGTTTTGCTGAACTGCTATTTTTCTCTTTTAATCTTTGTTACAAAGAATGGCTTTCTGCATATGGGAAGAGAAGATATACATTCAGACACAAATGATATAAGTATCAACAAAAATGAAAATTGTTTTCAGACAATATATCCAGTTTGAAAATGTAGCTGAAATTTTTACTAAAAAACAAACAACTTCAGTGGCAAACTAGTAGTCAATTAAAAGTACAACTATCAGCATTTTAGCACACACAAAACTACAGACTACAGTAATAGTCAGCAATTCTACTCTTTATATACTCATGGCAGGGGAAGGGGGTCTGGCACGGGGATGGAGAGTGTGGAATTTTAACTACCATTTTCATGACCTCAAAAGATTGCCCCAGATTCCGCATGCCATCTCTCATCTCTATACCTGGGATACCCTTCTCCCTATTCACCTCTAGCTCTAATAGCCCCCATAACTGATCAGCTCATACAGGACTCCTGTTAGTGTTCCCTCGATCCTGAAAATACTTTGTATTTACAGATCTATGTATATAGTTTCCCCCTCAAGTAGAATGTAAGCTCATTTGAGACAGGGTCTCTGCATCCCCAGTTATCTATTCCAGTGCCTCCTTGCAACATGGCACTTTATTCAATAATTTGTTGCTGAAGTGATGACAAATCAAGATGTTACTGCCCAGTAATTTCATTGGTTTTGGGGACTTCCAAGGAACTACCAAAGCAGGTTGCCTAAAGCAGTGGTGACAAATAGAAAGGGGGCCACTGACCCACTCTATGGGCATCCCTCATTTTATTGCATTTTGCAGATACCACATTTACAAATTGAAGGTGTGTGGCAATCCTGGGTCAAACAGGTCCATGGACGCCATTTTTCAAACAGCATGTACTCACAGGGTGTCTCTGTGTCACATTTTGGTAATTCTCACATTTTAAACTTATGATGATCTGTGGTCAGTGATCTTTGATGTTACTATTGCAAACCTCCCCCATATAAGACAACTGAATTTAGCCAATGCTGTGTGAGTTCTGACTGCTCCATCCACCTGCAGTTCCCCATTTCTCTCCTATTCCCTGAGATACAATATTGAAATTAGGTCAATTAATAACCCTACAATGACCTCTAAGTGTTCAAGTGAAAGAGTTAACTGATACAGCAAACTTCATTGTTGTTTTATTTTAAGAAACTGCCACAGCCAGCCTAACCTTCAGTAACCACCACTCTGGTCAGTCAGCAGCCAAATGAGGCAAGACTCTACCAGCAAAAAGATTATGACCTGCTGAAGGTTCAGATGATGGTTAGCATTTTTAGCAGTATTTTTAAATTAAGGTATATACATTTTTTTAGACATACTATTGCACTTTTAATAGTCAACAGCATAAACACCACTTTTATATGCCCTGGGAAACAAAAAAATTCATGTGACTCAATTTATTGCGATATTCACTTTATTGTGGTGATCTGGAACCCTCAACCCACAGTATCACCAAGGTATGCCTGTGTTTTACTGTACTTTTATTCATTTTGTTAAATATTTCTCAATTATATTTTAATCTATGGACAGCGTGTTTGACACCTCTGGCCTAGAGCACTAAGATTAAAATGACCAGCCCATCATCACCAGTTCGTGCCAAGGGGCAGACATAAACCTAGGTCTTACTGGCTTCCAAGTCAACAAACCGCAAATGCGCACGTTGCCTCTAAGTTACTTTGATGGGAGGAAACTTTTGCTTATCCTTTCTATTATCATAGAAGACAAAAACTAAGATGTCACGTCATGATAAATGCAGAATGAGAGAGGACTGAAGCTGGACTCTCGGGTAGCCAAGTTCTTGGCTGCCTCTGTCCCTTACAGCGTTAGAACGAGTTCTGTGAGGACAGACATGTATCATGAACAGCGGCGTACAATTTGAACCTGCACACTTTGTAAAGAGCTACGTAGAACCTTTCCCTCTACACTCACTCAAAATGCAGTAAGCCCAAACTACATACAATTCAGTCAGTCAACAGACACAGAAGCTATATGCAGGATTAACAGGAAGTAACTAGAATTAAGAGGGGATGGGAAAGGCTTCCTGTAGAAGATGGGATTTTAGTTGGGATTTAAAAGGAAACCAGGGAAGCCAGGGAAGTGGAGATGAGGAGGCATAGGGGACAGGCAGAGAAAACACTGAGGCAAGAAGTGGAGCTTCTTGTTCAAAGAACAGCCAGGAGCCCAGTGTCACTGGATTGAAGAGTATGTGGCAGGCATGGTGCATGACTGACTTTGATGGACTCGACTCTTCTCAGCAACGCAAGGATCTAAGACAACCCCAAAAGATTCATGACGGAAAATGCTATCCTCATCCAGAGACAGAACTTGGGAGTCTGAATGCAGATCGAAGCATACTATTTGCTCTCCTTTTTTTGTTTTATTTCTTCTTTTTTGTGATTCCTCCCATTGGTTCTAATTCTTCTATATATCATGACTAATGTGAAAATACGTTTAGTATGGATGTATAAGTAGAGCCTATATCAGGTTGCACACTGTCTTGGGGAGGGGAGAGGGGAGGGAGAGAAAATTTAAAACTCAAAATCTTGTAAAAGCGAATGTTGAAAACTAAAAATTACTTAAAAAGAAGAAGAAGAAGAAGAAGAAGAAGAAGAGGAGGAGGAGGAGGAGGAGGAAGAAGAGGAAGAAGAAGAAGAAGAAGAAGAAGAGGAGGAGGAGGAGGAGGAGGAGGAGGAGGAGGAGGAGGAAGAGGAAGAAGAAGAAGAAGAAGAAGAAGAAGAAGAAGAAGAAGAAGAAGAAGAAGAAGAGGAAGAAGAAGAAGAAGAGGAAGAAGAAGAATATGTGGTGGCAGGGATTATAGACTACTTGTGTGTTCACATTGGTCTGATCAGCCAGTCAGACACACTGTACCTTAACTCCAAGCGGAGTAAGAAGACTGGAAAGGTAGGAGGGAGAGAGATGATGAAGGGCTTCGAAGGCCAAACAGATGATTTTGTATTTGATCACAGAGATGACAGGGAACAGTTTACTGAGTAAGAAGAGAACAAGCATCGAGAAAAAGCCATTGGATCTGGCAAGTAAGAGATCACTGGTAACTTTGGAGAGGGTGGCTCAGGGAGAACGATGAGGTCAGAAGCCAGACTGTAAGAGATGTTAAGAAGAGAGAAATTGATCAAATTAGTTCAATTTGAAAAAAAAAATAGCTAAAAATTCTTCTACCAATCTTATGTTGAACCAATCTGTTAACTTATCTTCCTTTTAGTTTGGAAGTTTTTAGGTGAATATCCTTTGCAAATGGTTTGTGTAGCCTAGAGCTATCTTCTCACAAGCATTAGCTACCCGTCTTCCTCCTACCACTTCTCAGGAGGATGGCAGGGCCAGTTATGCCCCATGGTTTCTACTTTCTGCAAACTACCTTGGTTGTCTAGGAAAGTGATGCAGGAAATTCCCTGCACCTAGACAGATAATGCTCAAATACTCCTTCAGACATTTTCTGGTCAAGTAGACGCGGACAAGTTACTGAGGTTTGATTTCTTCCTCTAGCACTTGCATCAGAGTGTTAAAGACCAAATGAGCTGCAGACAGGAATACCTTCTCTTCAAGGGCAGCCCCTACCTTCCTACTTTCAGAAATAACCTCTTCTGTAGCATGACAAGGCTCCTTATCCCAGTGCCCTGTGGAGTGCTGTTAAGAGCAGTTACACAGTTCAAGTACTGATTCACTAACTCTAAGACATCCTTGGGTCAAGGCACTCCACCTTAACTGCCTCCCCCATAAAATAAATTTATCTAACCACATTCCTTTCAGTCCTAAATTCTAATATCCAGTGGCCCGGGCTAAATATTGCTAAGCTCACTAACTATATTACCCTGTACCAAGTCACTCCAACTCACAAACCTTTAGCTTCCTCACCTATAAAATGGGAATGACCATATTTGTATTACCCACCTTGGCAGGCTATTGATCATGGATAAAACAATAGGTTTGAGTTGGAAGGAATCCAAATGATAACTAGCCAAAGGATATATGAACAAGTATGTTTCTAAGGAAGAAATCCAAACTATCAATAGCCATATTAAGAAAATGCTCCAAATCACTAACAATTAGAGAAATACAGATTAAAGCAACCATGGGTCCATCACGCACTCACATAATGGCAAAGGGGACAAAAAAGAAAATGACAAAGGCACACTGCCGTCTATAGAGCTGTAAATTAGTCCAGCCATGCTGAAAAGTAATTTGGAAATATACCTCAAGTTATTAAACTGTGCATACTCTTTGAACCAATACTGTCAAGAGTCCTACACCCCAAGAATATGAAAGATGAAAAGATATATAAAAATATTTCTAGCTCTTTTTGTAGTGGCAAAGAACTGGAAATATCATTTGCGGAGTGGCTGAACAAATTATGTTATATGATGCATAAATTATGTTACATATGATATGAATATTATTGTGCTGTATGAATCAATCAATAAACACTTATTAGGGGCCTACTATGTGCCAGACACTGTGCTAAGTGCTGGAGAATTAAAAAAAAAAAAAACACAGGCAAAAGACAGCTTCTGATCTCAAGTTGCTTATGATCTAATGAAAGAAAGAAAGAAACTATTTCAGAGAAACCTGGGGAAAAGCACATAGACTAAGGCAGACTCACATTTAGATGCTGTTTAAAAGACAAACAATTCTGATAGAGTTCTGATAGAACTCCAGTGTAGTAGATCTAAGATCTCAGGTGGGTACCCCTGCAATGACCAAACAGGCATCCAGGACTGATGATTAAGCATGCCACCCACCTCCACGGCAGAACGAGGTGGGAGAGGTGAGAGGGGAAAAAAACAAGATTTGTTCATTATTCATTGGCTACCAGGGCTTTATTTTTTCCTTTTCCAGCGGGGTGGGGTGGACACAAGGAGAACACAAGGAGAAAGAAGAGATCTTGAAAGTTAAAAGGAAATACAACTTGAAGTGAGAAGGGATGTCCAAGGCCCTTGCCAAGTCATTAGTCCTTCTCCGAGGCTTCCTGTCATCCAAGCCGAGCGGGCTATGCCAGGACCCCTGACAGCTGCCTCCTCCTCTCCCCTCCCCTCCCCGCGTCCCGGGGCCGCACGCAGAGACCACTCAGATGGGGAGAAGCGTGGGGGGCCCCGCACCCCGACTTTTCCAAGGGGGCGCCCACACCACCCCGGGCTCAGAGCTGGACAGGACGCAGACCACGCCCCAGTGAAGCCCCTACTACGTGCAGCAAGAGGACCTATAAGGAGGCAAACACAAGCCCTGCCCCCGGGAGCTCGGTCGGAACAAAGGGCCGGGGGCGGATGCCCCGGAGCCCTGGGTGCGAGTCCCCCGACCCCAGGCCAGGGCGGCCCCTCTCGGGCTTCGGAGAAGGGTCCGAGCTGCCCTGGCTGGGGGAGGGGTCCCCCACGCCCCGAAGCCCCGGAGGCAGCCCTTCCCCCCCCCCCGGGTCGCGCGGCCACATGGGGAATGAGCCCCAGGCTCACAATGGTCACGAGTGGAAGGCGCTTGGAGATCCTCGCCCGTCCCCGCCCTTCCTCTGGCCCACAGAGGGCTGGGGTCCTGCCCGAGGGGCACAGGAAGGGAGCCCCCGGCTCCGAGGGGGAGGAGCCGCCACGCCACCCATTTACAGGAGAGGAAACTGAGGCCGGGGGAGGGGAGCTCCGTCAGCCCACGCGGGCCGGGCCCTCCCCGGGCGGCGCTTCCCGACCCGGCCCCGCTCCCTCCCTCCCTCCGCCGGGCCCGGCCTCCTCACGTCCGGGACCCGCTTACCTGAGGAGGCCGAGGCCGAAGGGCAGCGACACCAGGAGCGTCTACTCCGCCTCAGCTCCGGGGACGCCGACTGAGGCCAGTTTCAAACTCAGCGCGCTAAAGTGTCTCCGCCAGGCCAATCAGCGGGCCCGTAGACTTTCAAAGCGGCCAATCAGAGCCCGCACACTGCGCCGCTCGCTTTTCGGGGGGGGCGGCGGCGCGAAACAGAGGCGAAAAGGCGGCGCGCAGAAAACAGCGGGGCGGGCGCCGATTGAGCCCCGGCGCAGGCGTCCTCGGGCTCGCCTCGGCCCCGCCCACCAGCCTGGTCCTGTAGGTTCTCGTCCGAAACAAACTGCGTGGTAGGGCGGCTTTTTGCTGGTTTGAGTCTGGCTGCTGTGGATCCGATTCTTACAGAGTCAAGGGACACACAGGAATTTACGCAGCTCTTTAAGGTTTGCAAAACGCTGTACAAACATTAACTCTTTGAATTCTCACGACAACTCTGGGAGGTATACTACTGTTATGCCCATTATAGAGATGAGGAAACTGAGGCAGAGGTGGTGACTTGCACAGCTGGAGTCAGGCAGCCTTCCCAGGGGTCCCTGACACACCAAAGGCTAACAGCCCCCGGTCTGGACCACAAATAATGAGACCTAATAGCTAGAGTTCGTGTGGCATTTAAGTTTACAAAGCACTTTACATGTTAACAGTAAGTTAGCATTTATGTAACATTTAAGGTTTACAAAGCACCTCACCTGTTAATAATAAGTTAACATTTATGTAACATTTAAGGTTTACAAAGCACTTTACATGTTAACAACAAGGTAGCATTTATAGAACATTTAAGGTTTACAAAGCACCTCACCTGTTAATAATAAGTTAACATTTATGTAACATTTAAGGTTTACAAAGCACCTCACATGTTAATAAGTTAACATTTATTTAACATTTAAGGTTTACAAAGCACATTACATGTTAGCAGTAAGTTAGCATTTATGTAACATTTAAGGTTTACAAAGCACCTCACATGTTAATAATAAGTTAACATTTATTTAACATTTAAGGTTTACAAAGCACCTCACCTGTTTATAATAAGTTAACATTTATGTAACATTTAAGGTTTACAAAGCACTTTACATGTTAACAGTAAGTTAGCATTTATGTAACATTTAAGGTTTACAAAGCACCTCACCTGTTAACAGTAAGGTAACTTTTATACAGCGCTTATGTGTGTAAGTGCTTTACAGTTATTATCTCCTATGATCCTCACAACAACCCTCTAAGGTAGGTGCTATTACTATTCCCATTTCACAGGTGAGAAAACCAAGGCACGCCGAGGTTAAGTGATTCACCCAAGACCTCACAGCTTGCAAGTGGCTTCCCCAGCACGTGAACTCAGTCTTCCTGACTCCAAATCTGGTACTCCACTCGTTATGCCATCTGTCTGCCGTGACAGGCGCGGAGAACTGTATAAACACTATTTTATTAGTGGGACTGGAGGGGACCTCAGGGGCCAGCTAACCCAAGCTCCTCATCTTCCAGATGACACGGCTCAGGCCCAGGGAAGTTCAATGACTTGGTCCAGGCGCTCAGGTGGTGTCAGAGGCAGCCTTTGAAGCCAGGCTGGCACCTCCAGTCCTAGCATTCCTTCCTTGTAACTGTGATGGTTTTTGAGGCCATGCAGTTCAACCACCCTCCCCCCCCAAAACACACACACACACACACACACACACACACACACACACACACGACATTTTACAGATGAAGGACTGAGCAAAGTAGGTCCTAAGGCACACAGTGCTAAGTGTCAGTGATGGAACTTGAACCCAGATCCTCTGCCTCTGGAGTCAGTGTTCCATGACTGCTTTGGAGATCTGAGTCAAAACCTCTCTCTCTTTTTTTTTTTTGGGGCCCTTTTGGTGAGGCAATTGGGGTTGAGTGACTTGCCTAGGGTCACACAGCTAGTAAGTGTCATATGTCTGAGGCCAGATTTGAACTCGGGTCCTCCTGACTCCAGGGCTGCAGCTCTGTCCACTTCACCACCTAGCTGCCCCCAAAACCTCTCATTTTCCAGAAGAGGAACATGGGCCAAGGAGTGGAAGTCTGAGCAAGGTGACGGTCCCCTAACTCCATGTCCAACACAGTGTGGCCTTCCCAGTGTGATTCAATCAAAGTTTATTCAGAGCCTGCTTTGCCTCATGAGAGCTGGAAGAGATTCTAGGTTATCTTCTCTAAGCTGCTAAATTCCTCAGCCTCTCAATTCCAGGGCCTTCCCTCAGTTAATCATTTCCTATTTGTTTTGTATATAGCTTGCTTTATATATATTTGCTTTTATATTGTCTCCCCCAATTAGGTTATGAGCTCCTTGAGGGAAGGGACTGTTTTATCTCTTTTTGAATCCCCAGCTCCTCTTAACTAAATAAATGTTTATTGATTGATTGATTCAGATGTAACCTTTGGCCCACAACCCTGTCAAGCACTAGGTATGGTGGGGAGGGTAGAAAGGCGGCTCATCATTTTTGTTTTGTTTTTTTTTTCTTAGTGGGTCAATGAAACTAGGATAAAAAAGGAAACTGTCCATTTTGATTTGCATCAGATTGTTTCCAATGAAAGTAGAGTCAGAGTGCCTGAAAGAACAATAACATAAAGGAAAGCTTTGGGAGGAATTTACAGCTCAGCTCTCCAGCCCTCTAACCTTGAGGAAAGTGGCTGAGTTACCTGCAAAGTGATGAGATTTCAGGTGATCAGCTTATCCTGGATGGGGCATCATTTTCCTTGGAATTCAAACCAAGCAGAGCTGGAGAAACAACAAAAAAGTGCTACTTATAGTAAAATATTCAGAACAACTATCTTTGAAGAAGCAAAACACTGTAAAGTGTGTGCTCATCAGCTGGAGAATGGCAGAACAAATTCTAGTGTATGAATGAAATGGAAAATATACCTATGCGCATGCAAATGTAAGCTTATATTCATACCCATGTGCTTATGCATAATAATAGCTAATATTTACATAGCACCTACTATGTACCAGAGACTGTGTTAAGCCCTTTAATAATATTATCTCATTTGTTTCTCACCAACCACCATAGCACCAGTAGGTGCTATTATTATCCCCATTTTGTAGATAAGGAAACTGAGGCAAACAGGTGAAATGACTTGCCCAGGGTCATACAACTAGTAAATGTCTCTGAGTCCAAGCCCAGTGGTCTATCTACTCTGCCACCTAGCTGCTCCTACATATACATATACATACACACCACACATATACACATACACACGATTACACACACATATGTATATACATACACATACATATGCTCACACAGACGCTCACACGCATGTATACATATACATATACATACACATACACATACACGTACATATTATCCAGACCTATGAATTCATCCAGGTAGAGAACTCTTGAAAAGACACTTCCTCCATTAATGAAGAAGCTGGCCGTTCTGGAATCAGGAAGACCCGAGTACTGTCAAATGCAGCTGACTGACGCTGACCTAGTCTCCATTCCCAGACCCATAAGTTGCCTAAGGCTTACCAGACAGTACCACTCCCAGCCTCTGACTTTTTTACTCCCCTCTGAGATTCCCAAACTTTCCCAATGGACTTCAGTTGCTATGCAAGCCAACTTTACCTTGTGGAATCGTAGAATCCCTCCCCACCTTTTGCACCTATAGACCCTCTCCCTCTGCCCAAATGCTTTATAAGAACCCCGTGTCCAGGCTCCTTTGAAGGCTCCCCAGCACTTGTTACTGTGTGGAACTCCAGTTGCGACCCCTTACCCCAATTAGAGATCATAGTATTTGCTATATTGCTGCCTTCAGTACAAATCTGGCCTCAGAGACTTCCTCGGTCTGTGACTCTGGGCATTACTCAATCTCTGCCTCAATTTCCTCAGTTGTAAAATGGGGATAATAATAACACCTACCTCCCAAGCTTGTTGTGAGTATCAAATGAGACAATATTTGAAAGGGAAAAAAAGACACTTAGCACAGGATAGGCACTAAATAAATGCTTATTCCCTCTCTTTCCTCCCCTATTAATTCAGGTGGCTAACTAGTCTACAACTCCAAATCTTACAGAGGCATGAGAAGCAGGTCCAGTGACTTGCCCAGAGACACACCAGCCATCAGTGTCCAAGGCAGGCATGGAGTGAGGTCTCCTTGACTCTGAAGCTGACTCCTGACCTCTGGGTCACACTATCTTTCCAGAGACTGCATCATTATCAGCAAAAAACTGAGTGATCCAGAAAACCTTGGGAAGACATTTCTTACCAAAATAAGCAGAACAAAGAAAACAATTTACACAATACAGCTTAAAGGAAAACAACTCTAGAAGATGTCAGAGCAATGTAATTTCTTATCTTGACTCCAAAACTGATAGAGAAGTCAAGGGGCTGCAAGTGAATGAATAAATGAATGAATGAATGAATTTATTAAGTGCTTACTGTGTTCAGAGGACTGTGCTGGGGATACAAAGAGAAAAGCAAAACAGTCCTTGCTCTCGAGAATTTCACATTCTTTGAATAGAGGAAACAGCATAGTGCAGAATTAAGTATGGACTGTCAGACCAGGTCTATGTCATTTCGTTTTGCTTAAATATATTTCTCAGTTAGGGGCCGCTAGGTGGCGCCATAGTGCATAAAGCGCTGGTCCTGGAGTCAAGAAGACTCATCTTCTTGAGTTCAAATGTGGCCTCAGACAATTATTAGCCGTGTGACCCTGGGCAAGTCACTTAACCCTGTGTGCCTCAGTTTCCTCATCTATAAAATGAGCTGGAGAAAGAAATGGCAAACTAATCCAGTATCTTAGCCAAGAAAACCCCAAATAGAGTCATGAAGAGTCAGACACAACTGAAAACAACTGAACAGCAAATGAAGGGATGCTTGGAAATGATAACTTTTTTTAAAGCTTCCAAAAAAAAAATCTCTTTTTGTTTCATGTCCCTGCTCAGTTTCCCCTGGGGACCTCAGAATTTAATTTGTCTTGCTCCCATCCAGCCACTGGGATGACTGGGAAAGCATTTATTGTTTACTATGTGCCAAGCATTGTGCTAAGCACTGAGGATACCAACAGAAAAACCAGATCAGTCCTG